CTGCCCCTGCCCCTGCCCCTGCCCCTGGTTCTTCCTCCACACTTGTCAAAAAGTGTTAGGGCTGCGGCAGGGTCTTCGTCCGCTGCCGTAACAAGCCTTTTCCCTGGGACCAAAGCACCGAACGGCCATCTGCAGGGTTATTTCATTCCTTCTACAGCTCCTTTTCTCTGGGCCACGGTATTTCAAACACCTAAATTCTCTTAAAATTGCCACTGACAGGTACTCAGGGGCTTTTCTCCCTGCCGGTGTCCTCTGTGGCTGGCAGGCGGCTGTGGCTCGGGGTGAAGCAGCCCCGTGCCGGGGAACGCCATTGTCTGCTGCTTTCCCAATCCAAGCTCCAGCTCCTTGGGGACGCTCATCTTGACTTCATTATGCGTCAATTAATTAACTCACACTGTCCGCTCTTTTCCATTTCCCCCTCAAGAAGTCACTGAGGCTGAACAATTGACCGCAGACCGGCAGGCCTGCCCGCCCGGCAGCCCCCGTTCGCACGAATCATCGCCGCGCTGGCCGGGGAGCTGCTGCACCTCTCGCTATTCCCCTCTCCAGTCCTGGCTCCGTGGAAGATGGATGTGGGTTGAAAGCCGAGTGAGCTGTGCCGCCTGTGCCGGAGCCGGCAGGAAAGCTATCACTGATTTTCCATGGGGCCAGGATTTCAGCGCGGGAGCCTCGCGAGGGAGGCATCGGATGGGGATGCGATGAGAACATCAGGAAATGCCTCAGCCGGAGCTTTTCCAGCGCTGGGCTTGTGATTCACAGCAGCAGGCAGCGTTTCCGCCCCATGTCTTGCTCCTGGCAGGCAGCAGCCGCAGTTGCAGGCTTTGACGGCATCCATATTTCACTTTCCCAGCCTGGTCTGTCCCTGGGTGGGTGAGGCGGGTACCGGTAGCTTCATCTGAATGCCCCCTCCTGAGGCAGAATTTGAAATCTTGGGTCTCCCTCCAGAAACCTGATCCTAAATCCTGTATCCCAGTGCCACTAACGGGCTTCTCTTGCCTGCCTGTGGACCTGCTGCAGGTGCAGGTGTGTGGGTGTTTAGGATCAGCAACTGTGGGAGCTGGTGATGCCTTGGCGGGGCGAGAGGTAGGAATCGCACAGAAGCCATGCTGAGTGCTTACCAAGCTTTCGTTTTTCCCGCCAACTTGACACCATTGGTGTTCACCTACTGCTGTCCACCTTCTCACCCATCACTGTGCGCTCCCATCCAGCCATCAGCTTCTCCTCCCATGGTCTCACCTCTGTGTCCATCCTTAATTTATTTTCCCTTTCCTGTGTTGTCCCGACTGCCCCGGACCACACACAAGGGGTGAGTTTTGGTGCTGTGACCCGCCCTGGCCCAAGCAGACCCTCTGTGGGCACAGCATGGGGTAAAGCAGGATGCCTCCATGCATCCCCTCACCACAGGACCCTCCTCAGAGCTGAGCCCCCACCGTACCTGAGCCGACAGCTCTGGGGCTTGCTGCCGCTACATCAAAGCTGCCTTTCCAACGCCCGCGGTGCCGCGCCGCGCCAGCCCACGCCGCCTGGCTCCCCATCGGCTCCTTCCTCTGCTCCAGTGTCTCACTCATTCTGTGGCTCATTGATGATGAAAACCACTGGCCACATGAAAGCGGCTCCCCTAATGCGAGTTAGGGGCCTGCAAGCTATGTGGGAGGTAGCGGACAGCAGAGCCCCGGCTGGGACGCAGCGTCCAAGTCATTAACGAGGTGACGAGGATTGCAGAGCCGTCTCATTAGTGCTGCAAGGCAAGTGCGTCACGTTGGCAGACGGGCATGCCGGTGCCGTCATCGGAGCAGTCCGAGCAAAGCCGGGAGTGGGAGCAATGCTGCAAGAACCGGACAAAGCCCCCGGAGCAGCCGGTGCCTCAGATGCCTGTGCGTGTCCATGAGGAGTCATGACCAGCTCTTGGCACCAGCCATCACCGACCCTCCTGCCCGTGGAAATGCAGGGGAAGCTGCATGTGGCCCTTTTCCTCCATCTTTTACCTGGGAATGGGATCAATGGGGCTGTGTGGCTCAAGGAGAGCAGCTCCCTGCAGGAGCAAGGCCGGAGGTGATGTCCCAGGGGAGGCGGTGGCTGGAGCCCGGCAGGGCAGTGGTGCTCAGAGCAGGTAGAAGGATGTATCAGCCAGGGTCACCTCCGTCACACAAACCACAGCCTCCCCTGACCTTCATACTTTCCTGCTGCCTCACTGCTCCCGGTGGATGCGCCCACTGCGGTGTCGTAACGAGCAGAAGAAGAAACAGATTTCCCAATCGCCTGCCCCGCTGGCAGCCCATGAGCCCTCCGTGCTGGGAACGGCAGCCGGCACAGCTGGGGCAACTGGCTCACCCCCATGCTGCGCTGTGCCGCATGCACCAGGTATGGCCCGGTGCCCGGTGGGAGAAAGCAGAGAGGAGCCATGGATAATCCCTGGCTGATATTCAGGTGTTGCGGGCTGCTGTCATTTGAGAGAGTCGTCCGTCCCTTGGGGTCAGTTTTTCGTCCCTCCCTTGGGGTCAGCTCACTGTTGCTCCTTTTCCGTGGATGGCAAAGCCCATGTGCATCACCTCACCCGGGGCGAGCAGTGCTGGGTGCTGGGGGACAACCCACTCGTGTTTCCTACCAGGCTGCCCGCACTGCTCTATGCAGGCAGCGCTTCCCAGCACACAGCTGGAGGGAAGGAACAGATCCCCCGCTGCAGAGCAGGGAGAGCCAGCGGCACCAAGGCAGCCTCCTCCATGCTCTGCTCAACCACCTGGCATGTAACAAGTCACCTGAAGGCGACCGAAATCTGCGTGCCAAGGGACGTCGGGAGAGACAGGGCATCGTTGGCTCCTGGAACAGGCTTCCCTCCTTGCTTTCAGGGGGCTCCCGTCATTGCCTTGAGAGGGGAGGTAGTCACTCCATGAAAATTTGGCCTCCTCGTCCTTTCCCCCAAATTCAATTCCAGGGAAAGATGACACCGAGGCAGGAGAAAGGGGGTTTTTCTCCGGGGAAGAAATTCAAACCACATGCAGGCGGGCTCGCCGCAGTAGCAGGAGGAGGCACCGGGGCTGTGAGAGAGCAGGCTCCCAGCAGCAAGGCCAAACGTAAAGTCAATTAGCACTTTCAGGACTCCGAACATGCTTGAGTGCTGTGCTTCAAGCAGGCAAAATCCCTCTTGGAGGGAGGCTGCCAATAGGGTTTGAAAATAATTAGGAAGCCCAGAGCCCCACTGCTTCCCAGAAAAGCCTGTTAGCTCTGTGGTGGAAACCTTGCTTGCAGGGAGCGCGACGCACACACATAGTCGTGACTCATCAACTGGATGGAGCTAAACTCAATTTTTTGGAGGTCAACCCTCTCGAGTCCTAATGAGCTTTACCCTTGGTGGGGCTCCTGCGCTCCCTTTGCCTGCCTCAATTCAGGAGATGCCGGAGAAAAACAGGGATGGTTTCATGGGACATGTGACATCCAGACACCAACACCTTCCTAAGGGGCAGTGGTGATGGGGAAACTGAGGCACAGAGTGCTCGAACCACCTGAGCCAGAGGCCCGGAGGGCAGCAGCAACTCTGGTCCCCCGAGCCGCTGCCCCCGGATGGAGCCTGCACCCCACCAGCCCCATCCCCGCAGCCCGGGTGGATGCTGCCATCCCCCCTCTGCTCTCGAGGGACCTCAGACGTGAATCCGAATGGCCCAGGACAGGCTTGGAGGAACAAAACAAGACCATCAATCACCCTTGCTTCACTCCCGCCCCAGTCTGCAGGCTGAGCCGGGTTGCATTGTGCGGAGCCGGAGGGACCCCACATCAAAGCGGGGACCAGCTGGCTGCCGGGCCGCCCCAGCGCCCAGACGGGCAGCGCCCTGCCCACGAGCTGCCTGTCTGCGCTGCCTGCACGGGGCTCTGCCTCTGCTCGCTGCCCGGGGCCAGGAGGCAAAGCTGGGATGCAAAACTGCTCCCTGCTCGGGGTACGGCGGGGGGATGCCCGAGGCCACGTCGGCTGCGGAGACCATCAAAGGCGGGTGTGAGCGGATGCTGCTCCAGGGCAAGGACCCCACCGCAGCATCCCCGGGGCCGGCAGCACCTTCTCTCCGCGGGGGTGCGGAGGAGGAGGAGGCACCGCATGCAGAGGAAGAACTGGTCCCATCCTGAGCTCGTCCCGGAGCACTTCAGAGGCTGCATGAAGCCCGCGGAGCTGCAGGAACGGCACAGCCTGCTCCCGCGGTGCAGCTCCCGCTATCCTCACAAGACCCTTTCCTTTGCAGTTCCTTCCATGACACATGGTGCTCGCTTCCCCCGGGCTGCTGCCCCGACGCTGCTACAGACAGTACATTCATTTTTGGATGTCGTTTGCAGCTCCCCGGCGTTTCTCCCCATCGCAGGCACGCACGGATGGTATGAGGCAATGTTCTCGGGGAGTATCAGCTTCCCGGCCCAGCGCTGTTGGGTAAGCGCTTTGCCTTTCTTCTGAGGAGCTGATGGTGAATCTCCCCTGATGAAACCGGCCTGACGTGCTGCCCGGTGGGGCTGGGGATGGTGAGGGGGGAGCAGGGGGTCTGGTCATGGTGGGCTGGGCTGGGCCATGGTGAGCCAGTGAGGGTAGTGGTTTGGGATGGGGGGGTCTGGGCCAGGGAGAGCACCCAGATCCCCCCAGAGCAGTGCTCATGTGCGGGTGCAGCAGTGCAACAGCAATTTGGGTGCAAACTCCCAAACATCCCCTGTTTCCCCGCTAGCAAAGGGTTGGGGTGGCTCTGCCCCGTGACCCACAGCACAGGACAGAGTGGGGAGGACCACATCTCTGCGTGCAGGGAACCAGCCTGAGCCCCAGCGCCTGTGTCAACTGGTCATGCCATGCACAGCCCCCTCCTACACCCCAAAATGGGTCTGTGCCCCGGTCCAGCCCCGTTCTGGTACTCACTATGAGGCCACCGATGTCACAGCATCATGGATGCAGCTGGGAAAGAGCCATCTGGGCACCCGGAGAGCATCGGCCTGCCAGTGGTAATGGCAGCCTGGAGACCCTGAGCACTGTCGGGGAGAGGATGGAGGCAGCAAAATCTCGTGGTAGGATGAGTTTTATCACCTGGGTTGAGGGCGGGGTGGTGTGGCAGCCCATGCCACCAGCATTCACCCCCCCCAAGGGCACAAAAAGTTGTGTGTGCAGTGCTGGGGGAGCACCTTCTGCCATTGCATCCTGTAGTACACGTGTCCCCGTGGTAGGTAACAACTGACATTTTTTCCAGTTTGCTAATTAAGACGCAGAATAAAAGTCACTAAAATGTGAGGCTGGGTATTTAAAGGGAAAATTCTCCTCCAGGTGCCGGGTTTATTAAAAGAAGAGGAAAAACCAAGGGGGAGAGGCTGGGCCACAAGCTGGACAAAGAACATATGGAGAAGCAGATGTCTTTGTGGGGCTGGACGGTGTCGGGTGCGCGTGGGGGGGAGGTGAGGATCGGGGCTGCAGTAGACCCCATGTCATCATGCCACCGAGACACCAAGGTGCCGAGTGGTCCCTGGGAAGCCATACCCTAGGCACTGCTGCAAGGTGGGAGGTCCCCGGCTCACCCCATGTGCCCAGTGGGTCTGACACCCTGGCAGGGCTGATCTGGATCCTTCAAAGGTTTCCCTATTAACTGGTAGGAAACTGCCCCAAACCGGGCAGGATCCGGGCTGCTGAAGTGGGATGCACTCTAAGCACCGCCGCCCGAGCTGGAGCTGCCAGGGCAGGAGGAGGACATGCTCAGCCGGGGGCCATGGTTCTATGTGATGCTCGGAGCAGCAAAACACCCCCTGCTCCTGCAAGCTGCCCCCGGGGGAGCGGGGACCCCTGGCAGTGCCGGCCGGCCAGGCTGGGGGTAGCCGAGCCATGGCCCCTGGCCCCCGCGCCACCCACCTCCGCCGGGTGCCTGCGCACAGGCTCGGCATTTGCACTTACACATGTAAAGCATTAGGATTTGTTTAGAAGCCCTTTATTGTCATATTTTGTTCTTTATTTCCTACAAATTAAATTTGCTGAGGGATATGTGCGGATTGTGAAATTATTTTGAGAATAGTTCCTCTGGGTTTTTTAATTTCCTTTGTATTAAATTTTTACAGTGTTTAAAAGACTATGAAAAATTTTAAATAAAAAAAAAAAAAAAAGTAGGACAAAATCCCAGGGAGGAAAGGAGAAGAGCCTGAGAAGGTGACCAACCATGGGTGGGGCCGG